TAACCACATCATGGGAAAGTTATTTATCCAGGACCAAAAGTTGATTCCACTGAGTAAAGCTCCCCTTCCTCCTGATCTGTCCATCATGGTCTGCGAAACAAAGCACCTAGAATTCCTCATGGTGGTTTTGAAATGAAGCAACCAGGAAGTGATGTTAACAGCCTGAGCCAATCATATCTTAAGGACAATTTCAATATCTTTAAAAGAGAAACTGGCCTGACTTGCATGGCGTTAGAGGGTCAGGGTATTTTTTCCCATCACACCAAACTGCTGATATTTGTTGTTGTCCATTCTTTGTTCTTGAAGAGGAGCAATGACATCAGGAGAGTGATGTCTTGACTTGTGATTGCATTTGAGTTGGCAGAGCTGTGCAAGGTCAGCCTCACTCTCTGTTCCAGTCATTGGAGTCCAGTGGCAAGACATGGGTCAGGGCAACTGAAGATTGCTCTGACCTCAGCAGACACTCTGGTGGCGAAGCCTTTCAAGGTTTCTAGAGAACTTCCACCACTGAAGTGGTTTTAGGACCATTACACATCAACCCTGACCCACTGGAGAAAAAGAAAAACTAAGATATAGCAAAAACAAAGCAATGTAACAGTGCCCTGAAAGGGTTAACTGAATATTGCAGAATGACCAGAAATTCCAAGCTTTGCAATCCTGCCCCCTTTGAAAGGACCAAATCCCAGACCTAAACAATCTGACCAATCTTTGCCAATCATAGCAGTTCCCTCAATGTAAAGAGATAAACACTGGGGGTAAGGTGGGGGTAAGGTGGGGGTGGGGAGGTAACAGCACCAGGATCATCAGGGCTACAGGGAGAATTGCCCTGTACCACCATCTAATTAATACTCCCTGGCCACCAAAAGTAGAACCTCTTCCAGGGAGCCCCAAAGTAGGGGGCCGACTACTGAAGTACCCCACTTCTCTGGGAGCTCGGTAGACACATGCACCTTCCCCTTGTTGCCAGAAAACAAGTCACCTCCCAACATCACTCTTTCGTCTTCCAAGCGCTCCCTGGGCATGAGCTATCCAATGACCAATGGGTATAATACTGGTAGAGGAGGCAGTTTTAGAATTACAGTGAGCAAAGGGAGGGCCCACTCTTGGGCTTCCATTGCTGCTAGGGTCTGTTTCACTGCACCTTCTCAATGTGGCTTTCAACACTTCCCACTTTGTCAGGCAGGGTGACCTGTGGTACCTTTCATGCGCTGGAGCCTAAAGTGTCTCAGGTGCTACCACTGTCCGCCTGCACTGAGGCGCAAAAGATAATCGCACCCACAGAAGTTTATGCTTGACCAGCCGGAGCCAGATGTCAAATCAAGTATTGCTGTCTGACGTTCAGCCTGACTCGCAACCCATTCCAGAGCAGTTTCACCATAGTTATCTATACTGTCATGTGCCCTACTTCTCCTTCCACATTGTGACAAAAAGCATTTAGGGTGTTGGCTACAGACACAGGAACAAGCCTTACACCCCATTCCACAATACCGGGCGATAGCCATTTCTGCCACGGTGCTAAAGGGCGTCTGGGGCACAAACTCCAAAGGGGTCCTCCCTTGAAGTCCCAGAGAAACATCCTTAGCCAATTGGCTGGAGCTGTAATTGGCACATTTGTTCTTGTCCCCATTTCCAGAATTCTGAGCCCCTTGGGAGAATTAGGTAATTTCCTTTCAAGTTCATATTCACCTCTCAATAAAACCTCCCAACGGCCTCCTGAATGCCACACAACAGTCCCATGCAGCTCTTCAGCACAATTTGTCAGACGAACTGAAAATCAGACTATGGTATGGGGGAGGTAAACCTAGACCAATCAGATGAGGGGCCTGGAGACCACTGTCACCCTTCAAATGCATGAACATATACAAATTCAACCAACAAGAGTTTACCAGTTTCTTCCAGATACATTTCTTATTAAGAGCATAGGGTTAGTTTACTATCTCTGAAGGTTGGCACCACCAAAAGCAGAGGTCAGTTCAGTCTAATAGGGCTACTTCCCTGCCCAGCCCCCACAACAATCCTACTTGACTACTCCAACAGTTTATGGCCTGCCTCAGACATGTCCCCGGAGAGTCTAAGTTTGATATTGGAACAAAATGAGAAACTCATACATGTCATTCAGCAGTTAACAAAGAGATTTACTTAACCATTGGAGGACAAGGATATTCAACAAAATTATGTGTCCAGGACTTTGGAAATTGATTCAGCTGAAGAAAGCTCCCTGACCTGTAGGTGCCCATCATGCTCTACCATCTAAGTTTCTAAGAATGGCTAGAGATCCTAGGGTTAACAGCCTAAGCCTTTGGTAGCTTAAATTGTATGAGTACATGGGGTTTTGATACTGCTACTAGCACCATATATGCAACTTTCAAAAAATCATTATTATGTACTTTCAGGATTCAAAAGTGAGTTCATAATTTTCAACATGAGCAACAAGTTAAAAATAAACTCATTATGGTTTTATTGTCACAATTACTAAAAACTAACTAGTTACACTACCTTTGTACATTCTCATAGCACCTAGCTCAGTCCCTGGGCAAAGCAGCAAGGCTTGATAAATACTTAATTCAATTTTAACCATAATTTATTCCTAAGGACCAGCAGCCCGAGCCAAAGGCAATATAATCTAAGTATTACAATGGATCTGGTGTGACCTTGTTTTCCACTGTAATTATGTAAAGGTATCTACAGCCCCCTATGGTGCTGGGTTGGAAGGGGAAAGAGATTTTAGGAAAGACTTAAAACTGTCCCAGATGGATTGCAGATGGCATGGAACAGCAGCACAGTATTAAGCACTGGGCTTTGCCATCCTTGAGTCAACATCCTAACTTAAGGAACACTACAAGAGCTCTCTGGTCAAACTCTACCAGTAGTGCCTCTCCTTCACCTTTCAATGTCAGCAAATTGGGTAAAAGACTAGAGAGATGTACCATGTGGAATGACCAACTCAAATCTTCCTCCCCTATGTATGGGGTGATAATATAAACAAGTTAAAGCTTCTCTGCACCCATTCCCATATTTATTACAAATAGATCCTACCTGCAGACCTTTATCACAGAAATGTGGTTATAAGGCAATAGATATAACTGAGGCAAACTATACGTGTCTGTGTATAAGACCATGATTACTGCACTAATCCTACTTACAGCAACTAAAGCAATCTCATGTTGAACTTACCTTTCAGAAATGCCCCAGCCACGTCCAAAAGAGAAAACATGACTTGTCATTTATTACCCTAGGTATTGCTGGAAACATGTAATCAGTAGTTTTTTTTCCCCACTTTGTTCGACGTAACTCATTTCACTAAAAATCTATTATATGCTTAATTATGTGCCAGGCACTGTGGCAGACACCTGTGTAACAGTCCTGGTTCACAAGAATTTTATAAATTAAGCTGGAAATTACCTACATATATTAAAAAGGATTTTTTAAGGCAACATTTTCAAATGAGCATGACAGAAACAAACACTAGAGGAATCAAGAAACTTCTGTGAGTTTAAATGGAAAGTTTCATAGAGCGAAAGGGACTTTTGAGCTGGAAATGGTGGAAAACGGATATAGGAGGAAAAAACAACATCCAAGTTAGTAGCTTCTTAGCAAGAGCAAAGAAACAGCCTGTAAGATGTATTCAGAGAACAGTGAACAGTGTGAAGTAAAGTTGGCTAGACAGGTTCCCCACCCCTGGTCCAGAGGATGGAAGGCAATGAATGCCTGTGAAACAGGGCTTACAAATTCAAACAGCAATTAATCCAAGCAGAATTGAGGTAGCTGAGAGCAGTATACAGGATAGACTGGGGAGGGGAAAGAAAGCAGAGGTATAAGAAGACCAATCAGGCAAGCAGATTTTTCAAAAAGTGATGCTAATTAGGGGCCTGGACAAGGGTGGTAGCAGAAATGGAAAGGAGCAGACACAAATGCGAAACATCATAAAAGAATGGACAGGACTTGGCAACTGACTGGATGGTAGGCAGAGGAAAAGATTTCTACCATGCCAGGTAAAAGTAAACATACTTAAAAAGAGCTACTGCATGACTTCCTCCCTTCATTGACTCACAAGCCACTCAATTCCAGAGATTCCTGATCTGACCGGGCACTCTACATAACTAAAGGCTGAAGTAGTTAGATTCTACCCCACCTCCCTCCTAATTAAAAAAACAAAAAAAACAAACAACAACAAAAAACCACTAGAAAACTACACCAGTTCAAAGAAGATACCTTTTAAATGAGAGGATTTTCCCCTAAGTTTATAATCATTAAACACCACAACTTTATCACATTTATATCACCCTTTCAGGTAGTATCATCAGCATTTCTATTTCTTATGTACAGAAACTTGAATGTTAATTTGATTTGTCCAGAATTACAAGACCTCAGAGTCTAGAATAAATTTTTTGACCCAAAGTCCATGGCTCCTCCCAACTATCTGGGGTAAGTATTTAAGTCCACAGCAATAAGTAATATAAATATTTAAGATTTTACAATGAACAGTGACAAATTGAACAGAGCAGAACACCCTTATACCTTGACCTTTCAAAATCTTACCCAGCCATACCAAGTAGAAAAAAGGCCACCACATGTTAGTTTGGTTTTATAGATTATCTACCAGCACTTCTTAAACTGTGGGTTGTGACCCCATGACCCACAGTTTAAGAAGCGCTGAAGGGGTCAAGAGTGGAAAAAGTTTAAGAAGCCTAAGTACAAAACATTATTGAAGCACTTAAGCCCAGTATATAAAAATTTATTCATACAGCAAATCTTCCCATACTTTGAAAATGCAATTGACTGGTAAAAGATGAGAAATTATATAAACTTTTTTAGGCGAGTTTCAAATACAACTTAAGAAATCTAAAGACTAGCCATTTCTGGCTCTGAAATGTTGTGAATTTACATTATCTGAACAGCAAAGAAATATATGACTTCAGGGATATGTATATAAAGTGACAGACCTTAAAGAAAAAAATGATTATTTAAAACATTTTCTCCAGAGAAAAAGTTGCAAGTTCTTTATGACCACGCTGATTTATTCTCAATACTCAAAGACAAATATCACTTTTCCCTCCTATTAAATCTTAAGCTATTCTAATAGATAATTTGCTTATACAGATCATTGTTTAAAGGTGACTTTGAACAATTTACTTCTCCATTTCTCTGGGTGGTGCTTTTGAGCATATGAATGAATCTGCTTCAAGCAGATGCTACACTGCACAACCTAATGATAAAAAGAAACAATGAATAATAAAGGTAAGAGCAGATAGAAACTGACAACACTGAAGAAGTCGGTGGGACCAAAGCAAACCTAAGGAGCCAGAGGGGAAGAAGGGGAAGGTGAACACAGGGCCAATTTTCACATGTGAAATGAGTGCCGTCATCTTAAGTACTATATTTTAAAATATGTTTACAAAATATTACACACAAAACTCCAACATGAAAAAGTACAAATACAGGCAAAAAGAAATGACAAGAAAAATTTTGTTTTCCAACTGATTTTTAAGTCCTCTGGGAGAGATGTACTTAGTTGAGTAGAAAGCTAGGTAAAATTAAAATCATTTTTCTAACCATACAGTTTTTTTATCTTCACATACTTCTCTTTAACCATTTAAATACTGTAAAACCTTTCCTCCAGGTCAAATTCCTGTTACAATGTATTGACATGCTCTACTACACTATCTGCTAAAACTTCTAAATCAAAGCATTTCCAGAAGCTTTTGAGACAAACAAAATTTAATATATGCACAGTTTTATGTACAATGCAGCATCACACCATGTAGGGCATTTACTATTATTTTATACATTCAGATACTTTTGAAACACTTCTTAAGGCTACAAAACAGAACATAGAAAAATAAACAGGAATATATTGAACACTTACAAAAAAGTGATATGATAAAGAATATAAAGTACTATTTTCCTTTCAACACTTCAAAAGATATATGTGTGTGTGTGTATATATATATATATATATTTCTATACAAGTAACATCACAAAGGATCACATCTTCACATGCTTAAAGTATTATTTTTCAGTGTAAGGCTATTATCATTTTTTCATATATATATAAGATTTTTTTCTAGTTGTGTAACAATGCAATTTCTATTCCATTCAAGTAAATTCAACCCCAAAGTTGCTGTTGCCCCACAATAAGACATGCACCCACCCCTCATCTAGGATACTCTATAACTGGTGTTTCTGAAAAATTTATCTTCGGGAAAATGTCCCAATTAGTGAAAAATAAATGGCTGTTGTTACCTGGCAAAATTACTTAGTTCACTGAATTGACATATGGACCATCTATCACTTCAACTGAACCAAACAGACACACAGTAAGTAGTATTTAGACATAAAATCTGGGGCAAAATACAGTAAACAAAGATAACGTAGCATAGCCAAACGTGAACTCTTGGGCTACACTTTATGGACTTTTCCTAGTACCCTAAGAGAAAGTCAGAAAGTTTACTTTATCAAAAGCTGAAGGCAAAACAAAAAAGATGCATTAATAAATATTGCTAGTTTATGAAATGGCTGATCAAGTTTCTAAGCCAGAAAGGGTTAGAAAGGAACTTTTATTGCACCAGTCTGAAACAAGTTAGAAGTTCATAGGTATTTTAATACAACCACCTTAAGTCACATAAGAAGCAACTAACACACTAGTGAGAAAGAGAAAAGGGAGATTCAGCCACATAAGCTCTATCACAGTTGGGGTCTGGCAAACTCCATAGTTCATAACAACCACAGGCTTGGGTCTGCCATGTCAGATGAATCAATGTGGATGTGAAGAAGCAGTACACAGGATTCCTAAGACACCAACAATATGCTGGTTAGAAAAGAACTAGAATGAAAAACAGCCAATTCTCCCCAGGTCACAAACTTGCAGAGGACAGTGGAAAGCTCTGTAATACTAAAAGGAATGAGGGTAGAAAACAAATCACAAAGACAATGCCTAACTTAATGAAAGCTAGTAGGTAAACTTTGGTCAGTACTTCAATAATTTCACTTTAAGATGCAGACTTCTATGACATGGAGAAGTCCCATAATTTCCAGCTGTTAGTATAAACGAGTCCATCCCCCTAGACACAAACGTGCTCACATTAAGACCACTCTAACTTTGTGCCATCACACATAGAAACTTGTGTGTGACTACGAGACAAAATAAGTTGAAGTGAAGGAGGAAGGAAATTATACTCTAATTTGACCTCAGCTTAAGAAAAAAGTCCCTAAATTTTTAAAAATCCACATCTGTAAGGATAGTTAAATCATAAGTTTTTTTTTAAAAGCAGTTTTTTTATTCCAGAGGTTACTGAGCAAAGTACCACCTCCTAAAAAACTCTCTTTCAACACTTTCAATTCTATATCTTAAAATGGGGCGTGGAAAACAGTTCTGTATTTCCTTCAGAAACTATAACCTAATCTATTCTATCACTCAAGTGTTGTAAGGCAGCTAGTGATTGTGTAGAAACAAACAATATTCTTTTATAGCCAATTTTTAAGCATTTCCAGAAGAATACTGGATGAAAAACATTTCCTTGCCTCCTGAGATCAGAACTTTTTGCTTTATTTAAACCTAATAATCGAAACATATCTATAAATGTGGCTTTCATGAAGATTACCTGTAGGCAATTAACAAGCATGGGCTATAAAGGTATGATTTTTCTAGCTTTAACTTTTCTTCCATAATTCAACCATACACACTACACTAAAGGAAAAAGACTTTAGTATTACCTTGAGCAACTGTTCTACCTCACAAAATGGCTGATGTGATCACCACCAGCTCACTAAAGCATTTTTGGGAGCATAAAACAATTAGTCATTAAAGATTTTTACCTAGCACCATCAATAATAAAATGCTACCTTTCAAAGTGCTCTCAAAATTTTAGATAACAAATAAATTTAATCACTACTCAAATTGGTAGTACCAGAACTTAAGAATTTGGCTAATTAAAATAGCACAGAGGTAAATAACCATTAATACAGTACAGTAGAGATTCACTAAGCCCAGCTAGCATCTGAACTTTTCTGAAGGTTACCAGAGGAAAAAAAACACATCTATTTTACGTTACCAAATTCAAATAAATTACATTTGTTTTTATAGTATTTTCTAATAAAGAAAAAAAAGCCACTACATTAATTTTTGGCTAGGCATTATACATGGCATGCAAAGAGAAATCACTATGTTATTTGCATAGCATCCTGATCAAAAAGTAGATAATCTCTTAAACACGAAAAAAGGGTATGTTTCACATTGGTATATACAGTTATAAAATACAAACTACATTTATTTCTTTTACAAAGAAACACAGATGACTAATACTGTGTTATTCAGAATCAAATCTCCAAATGAGGACAGAGTGCAACATGCAAAGGGGATAAATGGGAATACTGGAGGGACCAGTGAAAGGTTAAAATTAAAAAACAAAAAACACACATTCTCATCACACATTCACAAATGCTACCTAAGGTAACAAATTGGTTTTAAAATAGAAAGCAAAACCCATCTTCTAGCAGCATCCTCTAGAAAAGGACTGGAAGTCGCAGTCATCTTTTTTTTTTTTTTTTTTTTAGAATAGAGCCAACAATCTGAACATGCATATGGTGAATGATAAACATAACCAACAGTGCATGAAGAACCAAAAACAAAACAAAAAACAAATGAAAAAACCCAGTAGCTCTCCATAGAAACTTGTCAAGCTAAAAAAAAAAATTCACGTTTACATATCTCTTCTCACAAAATATTTAGAATCTGTCAGTGCATTAGTGTTAAAGTGGCATTAAAAAATTTCTGCGGTTCTAACAGGTGCAGAATTATTTTCAAAATGCATAGCATCTACATTTCGTTCGAGTAGGCACCATGATATTTACACCAGTGCTAAGAATTCTTGGTGGGAACAGCCATATCACTGAATTTCCTATTTTTTTCCACAAATATCTATTCTTGCCTGCAATCTCAAGTTCAACAAATCACTCTAAAATTCAAAAATATACCCTATGAATATTAAAAGAACTATGTACAACATTTCTAAGACACAGGTTAATCGGCTGCCTTATATGAAATATTAAAGAGAAAACATTATTCAAGTTTGACAGATATTGAGATGAAAGGCCTTTGGGTTGGAAGCATATCAAAGACAACAGTGTTGTAGGCTGAGAATTTTTGAGCCCAGTTTATGACTAAGGCATTGTATAATAAAATATACATTTCTATTTGGTGCAATGTTATCTTTTTAGAATCTAAATCATGTCAAACACTATATTTCTGTCATTTCAGTAAACATTGTAAGCATACATTTTCAACACCTTATATCATAAACTCAAACTGTATAAGTAGGGAAAAAACAATACTAAATCTACCATGTTTTATATTAAACAATTTTTTTTTTATATTTTACACACTTATTTTCTAGGTTCCTATGGGGGAAAGGGAAGGGGAAAGCGACACTTAAATAACTGAAATCAAACAAACTCTTCAATGAAGAAAAAAAATGTAATGCCAGGAATTCACCTGCCCCTAAGTCTCAAGTTGAGGTTACTTGGTTAGGGAGAGAAGCTATTTCCAACTTCAGGGATTTTTTCCCCCTTCTTTAAAAAATAAGATAAGCCTTTGGGAACATTAAGCCATTCCATTTTGCAAATGGTTTTATTCTGACAGTCTACAAAAGTAACCATTTCTAAGTGTGCTGTCCCCTGTGACCATCTCCCATCCCTGATCTTCTCCTATCTCCCCTGTATGGTCGCCCTCTAAAGTTTCGATGATACTGATAACCTTCTTCCCTACTTCTGTTGGGCTGCCCTTTCCAAGACTCATCATTTCTTGAGTGCTGGTACCCTCCTCTGCTAGAAGAGTAGCCCCAGTCATTTTTATACTTTCTGCCTCCATATGTCTGATTGTAGAACTGTTTGGATCTACCACTCTTCAGAATACTGGACACTTCATTTTCATCCTCAGAACTCTCTTCTCTTGCTCTCTGTACCCTGTCTACCGAACTGGCCATTGGGCTGGCCAAGTGATCAGTGGCCTTGGAATCTTTGATTTTTTCTGCTCTTTCTTTAGGATTGGTTACGGTTCTTTTAATAAGCTCAGGTTCTACAGCTAATGGCAGAGATTCTCTTTCTGTGTTTAACATCTGAGGAAGATGAGCCTTCACTTCTACAGAACCAGTAGCAAAAGCTTTTTCCCCTTTAGGCATCCTAGGTAGTGACTGCTCAGCCTGGCCATCATGCTTACTGCTTACACTGGCAACAGGGAGGGGGAGTGTTGCTTCACTTCTCACTTCTTGAAATTGATCTGCTGCTGAAATTGAACTACATTCTTTAGATAGATCTGGGTTTTCCACAGGGTGATCTAGTGTTCCTTTCTCCTCAGGAGGCAGGACCACATTTTGCCTCATTACTGGATTTTCTATAAAACCCTGAAATGGATACCCATACCACAAAGGAGGAAAGAAAGGAGGTGCAATGGGGACTGCTCCTAAAAATGGATTAGGTCCAAAGGATGGCTGTGGAAATATGTTCTTGCCGCCCATTGATTCATCATAGTCAGCATGAAGCAACTGTCCAGGGTTCTCAGATTCAATATCGCCCTGATAAGGCATCTGTCCTTGGCTTTCCGACACCTGAGACGTTGGGATAACCAATGGTGAAGAGAACGTTGGAGACCCAGTCTCAGCCTGTGTCCCACGATCATTAGCATTAGCTTCAGTTGGCATAGAAAAGTGTGCCTCTGTGCGTGCGCAGTCATTTTCACTCTGTGATGAAGGAGCTTCTGAGAACCAAAGGTTATGAGGATACACCGGAACTTGAACCTTTGGGTACATCCTGCAAGCAGCTATGTAAGCCTGGTGCAGAGGGTACAGGTAAGAATGTGGGGCCCACATAGGACAGCTATATGCCTGCAAGAATGAAAAAAAGCACAAAGTTAAAAATATTTTTAATAGGTGCTTTTTAACAATTAGTGTCATAAATGTTTCTCTGGTCTCTAAGAAGTCAACCCGTGGCTCAATACAGTTTATAATACTGCAAAGGAAAATAGGAAACAATTCTCTAGCGTTATACTTTGGCTTCTCCTACTTCTAAGATATTAAAGAGTCTCTTGTTTCAAATGATCCAAGCTACCAGTCCCTGCCAATAACAAGTGAAAATTTCAGATACAGTATAAGGAAGGGCTACTGCAGCTAATAATTCCTAGAAGCCACTCAGAAAAAAAAAAGTGACAAAGGGAAAATAACTATTTCAGAAAATAACCAAGTTAAATACTAACTAATCAAATGGCTGACCTTAGCTAGATATACAATTATTGACTTATTACATTCTGGATATTAGCCAAAAAACGCAGTTCATAATCACACCTACCCACCTAAAAGTATCATCTTCATTTATGAAAGCTGGGGTAGGATACAAAATTCCATTTTCCAAATAACCAGGAGCCCAGAACCAAAAACACACCTATGATAGTACACCACCTTGTATCTATCCTACTGAATCCTCCTAGCTCAAGTTGTTTCTCTTGCTTACCCCAAAGACCTATTTGCTGTTTTGGAAGTCCCATTTAACTTTACTGACCAACCCCTCAATGAGCCAGGAAAAAAGGATGTTGTCAAAGATGAAATCAATACCTTTCCCCAAAGTCAAACAACGAAAAACCCAATACTTAAGAGTAATGGAACTGTGTATACAGTTAGCTATAGATAGCTAACTGATTAACAAGATGAGAAGTTAATTATCGTTATTTCAAAGATATGGTTTAAAAAAATTTTAAACCCCAAATTAAAAATTAGCTTTTATTTCAAACAGTTTCTGTTTTTAACTGGGGGAAAGTTATTAAAAATTTTACATCATTACCTTTACACCAAGATTGAAGAAAAATCGTAGAACGTTTTTATCTAAAGAAAAAAGAATAAGTTTAAATCACATATTAAAAATACACACAAATTTACACAGATTTTTCCTTTCCTACCCTCTATGATATAAAATACTAAAGCCATGTCTGCTTCAGTAGATTTCATAATGCATCAAGGCTGTATTGTTAGTTCTTCTATCTATTACATATAGCAATTTGAAATTGTCAACTTTAGCTTGACCATCATAACAAAATGGGTTTGTTACAACATGGTAGTAACAAAAAAATCTATGCATGCCTTTTCTGAGTTATGTCTGATAAAAATGAAAGTGATTAAAAAGAGACATTTATGTGTCTTCCGAAGACTGCACATAGTTCTTTACTCACATAAAAAAAAAGCCCTCAAAATTGACTGCTAAAGTTACATAAAGTATGATACTAAATGGCTAAGATCCTAAATCATACAGAACATTTGTTCTTAATATTAGCTGCATAATGTTAACATTGGCTACGCAACCATTTTCACATCAGTAAGACACACAGAATTGCTAATTTCCCAAACACACAATACCACTGAGTAATCAATCTGGCTCATGTCAAATTTAGCTCACTGGGGTCTACCAAAACAACATGCTAAAATTTAGCAACAAAAATTGATCCTTTATATTAAAACACATGTTTCTTAACATTTAACAACAAAAATATTTGCTCATCCTGGTTTATGAGATGGGCATACCAAACAATCCCAAAATGGTGTCCCCAATTTAATAAGACAACTCAACAATGACTGTACAAGCGGTCAACACAAAATCTCCTGACTCCACGTCCACTGATCCCTCCACTGTATCTCCCAATATGACAGGGAAAGCAGCAGAAATACAGACCCAAGAATTTCTGAAAAATATTTTGTATCCTCCAATCTTCCCTTCGTAGGACTTTTTTTTTCATTAACAGTATTTTTTTTTCCCAATTACATGTAAAGATAGTTTTCAATATTCACTCTTATAAAATTTTGAGTTCCAAATTTTCATCCCTCCTTCCCCAAGATGGTAAGCAATCTGATATAGGCTATACACGTACAATCGTGTTAAATATATTTCCACATTATTCATGTTATGAAAGAAGAATCAGAACAAAAGGGAAAAACCATGAGAAGGAAAAAAACTAAAAACTTAAAAAAAAAGGGGGAAAGCAGCATGCTTCAATCTACATTCAGACTCCATTGTTCTTTGTCTGGACGTGATTAGCATTTTGCATTATGAATGGCGACAGTCTTGTTTAAAAATATGTCCTTCCAAAAAAAAAAAATACGTGCTTCCTATGGTTGAAACAGTACCCACAACAGAGTGGGGATCTAATACCTCCTTTCAATCCCACATCAAAACTCAAGTCATTTCTCCAGACTAGAAGATGACTTTCTGAATTATTTTAATATCAGACTTAGACAAAGTGTAAGCTCCTATAGGATAAGCTCTTATGTTATACATCTTTCTTAACTTTTTTTTTTTTTTTAGTAAGGCATTGGGGGTTAAGTGACTTGCCCAAGGTCACACAGCTAGTACATGTCAAGTGGTCTGGATTTGAACTCAGGCCCTCCTGACTTCAGGGCCGGTGCTCTATCCACTGTGCCATCTAGCTGCCCCCTCTTTAACTTTTTTTGTCAGATGCTTTGTTACCTGGTAATAGCCTACGTATGGACTCTTACCAAAAAACAAAAACAAACAAAAAACCTAGTTCGTGGATCCCAGGTTAAGAACTCGTTTGAAAGTATTTATTCACATCTTCCTCCACCTTAAAAACAAACCAAAAAAACAACTTCATTATCTTGTTATTCTATTTCACAGTATCATACTGTATCTCTCCTCCCTTTCACAGCCTAATTCCTATCTACACAAGTTGTCCCACACTCCCAATCTTGTTTCATTCACTTCTTAACTCCTTACTACATTGTCTTCTGACTTAACTGCAACTATTAGACCCAAGGTTATCAATCTTCTCTTTATTCCTAAGTTTGATGGTCTATTCTCTCACGCCTCATTCTTTCTCTCTGAAGCATCTGATATGGTGACATACATACAATATTCTCTCAGTAAAATCTCTGTAGTTTTCCTGACATTGCTCACTCCTGGTCTCCTCTCTGAGTGCTCCCTACGATTCTGTTTTGTGGCATCCTTTCTAACTCCATACACCCTCTCTTAGTGATCATTTTCCACCTGGCTGCTTTCCTGGACTTCATGATCTCCAAACACACATCATTCCGCAAGGTGAAAGGAACTCAGAAACTCTCACCTCCTCAGATCATCTCCTTCCCTGGCTAACGAACTTCCTCTTCTCCAGCCTCCCCACCTGATTTTGTTTCTTTATAACGCCCCCCCCCCCCCCCCCGCAATTAAATTGCAACTTCCTTGAGGGCAAGGACTGTTTTGCTTTTCTTTGTACCCCCAGGACTGAGCACAGTGCCCAGCACACAGAAGCCTAATAAAGGTTTACTGACTCTGACTTTCTGATCTATAAGCTCATTCACTACCATCTCTTCAATGACTATCTCTATGTATTTCTTCTCAAATCTCCATATTCATCTCCAGTCCCTTGTGAGTTCCAGTTCCACATATCAACTTCATATTCCACTAATATCTCACACTTATCATGTCCAACCAAAATGGAACTTGGAATTCCTCCCAACAAAATTCCTTATGTTTTTAATAGCATCACATTCTCTTCCTTCTCCTTTAACCACTTACTAAAGCCGATCAGTCAATAACTCTATCTCAAAAACATTCCTCACATGACCACTCTCTCCAATCACATGACCAACAACCTTCATTCATGCCACCCATCACCTCTTGCCTGGACTATTACAACAACTTTCTATCTCTTTTTCATTCAATCTAGCCTCCAAACAACTGGCAAAGTAATCCTCTTAAAGCTCAAATCTGACTATATTACTCAAATGCTCAAGAAACTTCAATGAGTCCCCAGTTCTCCAGTACAAAATACAAATTCCTGTAATTTGACATGTAATGACCTGCACAATGTCTCCAGAACACTTTTCTAGGTTTACCGAACACTATTCTACACATTCAGCATTTCAGACAAAAAGGCCTTGGTTAATTAACTATTATGCAAACTTGGAATGCTCCTTCCTATATTCAAACCTTTGCAAAGGCTGTTCTACATAACTGAAACATCTAACTTCACTTCTTGATGTATGCATACACACACACACACACACTCTCACACACACTTTATCACCACACCTATTTCACCTCAGGCAGTATAATGCAAGTTTCTTTACTTTTCACTTTATTCTTGTGCTCCCAATGCCATGCATAAAGCGGATACCTCAAATACTTATTAGGCTATACTCTATTGTATAATGAATATGCAAGAAATATAATCCAAATAAAAAACTCATTTTAACCTGTCATCGTACCTTACGTGCCACTTGGTCACAAGACATTAATAAAAAGTATGTCATCCAAATTCTGTGTCTTTTCCCTCATTTCTTTAACACAAGAAGCTCCTTTATTGGCTGTTTTTCATTTTATCTTCATAGCCCCAGCAACTAACACAGCATCTTGCAGACAGAAGGCACTTGATGTTTATTGGATCAGACGAAATCTGATTTTAACTCATATAACTATTTTAAGTCTGATAAACCAAATAATTACTAGGACCTCATCAAACATTTGCTTCATTAGAAGCTAAAATTACAGAATTGAGACATACACTTTTATTAGTACTCAATTTGCAAAAATAACATTTGGCAGCATCCCAAAGCAAATCCTTTCACTGACACAGTAACCAGACTTCTCAACACCACTTAAGTCATACTTATCCTATTATTCCCCAAATCTGATTCTGCTTTGTGAATAACTCCTAATTTAAACTGGAAAAGCTCACCTTTAGGTAGATCTTCCCCATTATGACAGAGCGAATGAGGTGGGGCAATGGCTTGCTCGCCCTTTTCATTTAAAGGAAACCCTGGGTACAATGGGTCTTGGTAAAGGCTTAATGTCTGAGGCAAAGGCATCAAAGGTTGATTAACTGCTTGAATTGACATAGGAACAGGAGTAACAGGGGCAGGTGTTAACTGAGCTTGTGACACAGTAGAATCTGGTCCAGAAGTCTGTGTCACTGAAAAAACAGGAATTTGAGCAGGAACACCTAAAAGAAAAGCAAAAAGCAAAGATTACTCAAAGCTAAAAAACAACTTCCAATTATAAGGAAAAATTTATGCCAAGAATATACTCTCAGAACTTAAGAGAAGGAACATTAGCAATGTCTAGCCCAGAGGTTCATAACCTGGGGTCCATATGCCCCCCACAAAGGTCTGTGGATAGATTTCATGGGTCTCATGAACCTGGAACTTTTTATATTTTGGTAATTATACCCTAATATAACTCAATTTCTTTGTAATCCTTTGTATATCCTTTTAGGCACATAAAAACATTATTCTGAGATGGAATCCATAGGCTTCACCAGACTGCTAAAGGGAATCATGACACAAAAAAGTTCAGAACTCCTGGCTAACTTCTATCTGAAACACGAATCATCTAAAACATTCCCAAGTGGTAAGTGAACTACTTTCCTCTACCACTTCCAATGATGGAAGACTCACTATCCCTCAAGTCCATCCAATTTTGGGATAGCTTTAAATGTTAGAAATTTATTTCTAATGTTGAGAGCAGATGTACCTCACTGTGTAACTTCTACCCATTAATCCTAGGGAAGTTTTTTGCAGCCAAGTAGAATTTTTATCTCTTGTCACATGATATCCTTCAAACCTGATTATAGTGACTGTGTCCCTCTAAGACTTTCCCTCTCTAGACTAAAACATACATGGTTCCTAGAGTCAATTTCCATACAAGTTTCCTCAACAGCCAGTTGATTTCCTCTAGATATGTTGTAGCACATCCATTTTCTTCATAAAAATGTGAAAATATGATCCCCACAAAGTACACATCACCTATTCTGGATACTATATGTTTTTATTCAATCAAGATTTCATTTTTTATACTATATATGGCTGATAAATGTGTGCAGGCAAAAATTTCTTTTGCAATAAACATCAAATGATGCCCACAGAAGAACAAAAATATAATTAACAACAAATCAAGCACATGATATTAAATGACATACTATGATGACAAAACATAGCTCAATAGGGGAAACGAGTGCTGCTCTGATTTTCCATTAGACATGATGATATTGCAGAAGATTTGGTACATAATTAATTCAACAAGAGTATTTCTTTTCAAAAATTTTTTCAATTAACAAGCATTTATTTTTTCTATCTTCAAATGCCTTCCACTCCCCACCCCACCCAAATTGAAAAGGAATGGATACTACAATGAACATGTAATTCCCCAATACCCCTACAAAAAACAGACAATTAACAAACCCTGCTGGTAGGGGAGAAATACGGGAGCATAGATCCTATGGGGAAAGTTGCTTGTGCTTTTCCTTATACTTATTCACAATGTTCAGAGCCTTTATTCATTCCCAAAAGTTAGGAAAAAAAATAACAAACTGAAAATACTGATTTTCTTCCCTAACCTGTTGGTCCATAAGTTGTTGGTTCACTTGGCCAGACTGGCACAGTGGCTGGTAAAGAAGGCACTGTGGGAGGCAGATGCACCTCTGAAGGAACCTGATGGGGAGCTGGATTTGCCAATAACACATGCTCTGCTGGATTCTTAAGAAAAGGGAAGGAAAGGAAGAGCAGGGTTGGGACGAGAGAGAGAGAGAGAGAGAGAGACATGTTCTAATGCACTGCGCAATCATTTTATGCGACACTGTAGATAACTTTAAACTTACACCCACCCAAAGTTCCTTTTTTTTTTTCTAAAAAGGACACAAATGAATTCCAAGAACAGTGACAAAACAAAGTGCTTAGAGAAACACTAAATATTTACTGCAGTTTCCTTCTGCTACAGGTACAAAGTAAATGTGCAGCAGTTAAAGAATGTCCCTACAAGAAGCCTACCAAAAATCACAAAAGCCTATAGGAGAGCTAGGAAAAGCCCACAAAACCAAGACAATTAGACTATAAACTTAAGACAACACAATGAAATCATGTCACTTGAGAGTCCAAGGTGGGGATGGGAGCAAGAAAGGCACACAAAGAAACTGAGGTATTTTTTGTACCACTGAACTAAAAACCAAGAAAAATCTCTGAATTAGAAATCTGGGTCAATCTCTAGGGCAAACCTCCCATTTATTGGAGATTAAAATGGTCTTAATTTCCCCTAACCTTATTAAGAAAACAATTAGAATTGAGATTGCTCTGGAAAAAAATAACAAAATTGTGAACTTTTCATCTCAAATGGGGTATAGTTCAGGTCTGACTCTCATAATAACTCCTAAGTTATGAGATTCAGATGGCTGCTAGAGAACTGAGATATGAAACAGATGAAAAAAATTCATCCACCATATACAAGGTAGCATCAGAACTCTTCAATGTACCACTGCATCAATAAACAAAGTATGGTTTTTCCCCATGTGAGTGACAAGAAGCACATGGGGTAACAAGGGGAATCTGAAAGTTTTCTACTCATACCCAAAGTCTTTGGGCACAAAAAATACTTTAGGCATATTGACTTGTAAACATTATAAAGTATCACATTAAATGTGTATATACTTCCATTTCTACTAAATAGGAAAATCAGCTCAAAAGAACTAGTGGCTGCCTAAAAGAGAATCAAATACTAGTAACTGTACAATTACTAGTTTAAAAGGCCAAGAACATGTTCGCTTTAAAAAATAAAATAATGAACCACCAAATCCTCTCATGTAATACATAGGCTCTATCTCTTCTTAAGATTGTCACACACAGAATCATGACTAGATTTAAAAGAATGCTTTGGAAAAAAACAAAAACATGCATACTTGTTCAGCAGGAGATGGACCCTCAATCTTCTTCGATTTTAAAGGTGAAGAAGCTGGTGGACATTTTTCATCATCTTCAATATTCTTTGGAAACTAAACAGCCAAAGTGATTTTATAATTTAGAATTCTACAATATACATTCTAATATCTTCCAACTCTATATCAACAAAACCCACCCTGAAATGAGTATTTCAAATATTATCTCCTCAAAAATATTTAAAGGATATTGAGAATCTATTATACTTAGTGTGCTAGGAGGTCGTTGGATGATGGTACCAGAAAAATTTTATGTCAACACCACTTGGAAGAGTTTTGTGGTAGTATGGCTCCATAAGAGTTTTATTCTATTCTGTGAAATTCTCTCTCTTTTTTTTTTTGCTAGGCAACGGGGTTAAGTGACGTGCCCAGGGTCTGAGGCTGGACTTCAACTCAGGTCCTCCTCAATCCAGGGCCGGTGCTCTATCCACTGCACCACCTAGCTGCCCCTATTCTGTGACATTCTAATCCAACATGCTCTAGGCTCCTCTTACAGATCTGAGAATCTGGCAGTATTTCTTAGATTAATCAGGATAGCTTAAAAAACATCCCGCACTTTACCAAATTTCTAACCTTTACATATTCTTTTCTTCTTCTACACCCTACAGCTAATTACCCCTGAACTATACTTCATCTCATTTTCAGGCCCATTCCCAGCCCAGGGCCTGCAGTAAGTCACCTCTACACCAACTAGCCTGGAGTACATAAGGGAAGCAGTGGACTATATGGGATAGGCTCCAGATAACCTTGGACAAGTTTCTTCACCTCCCTGAGTCTGTTTGCCAGACTGTATGACTTCCAAATCCCTTATAGCTCTCAATCTGTGACTTCTGATTTAAAGCAGAGAGCAGTCCCAAGCCTGGGGACCCAGAGTCACTGTTCTGAGAAAGACCACTGACTGCAGACAAAAGCAAATGAAGAACTTTAAGTGCCAAATAGCGATCCAACAAGGAAACCAAGAGCTGCTTCCATCTCTCCCTGAGACAGCAGACTGTACTGCTATTTATGCTGAGTTCATTTTAAAAGGATTGTAATTTAGAAAACAATTTTCAGAAGTGACATAAAAATACACATCCCTGTTTTCTACTCCATTTGCATCTGGAAATTCTGAACCTAGTGTGCTGAAAACATCTCTATCTGAAACAAATACCAAACTAAACAAAGATCACTGCCAACACTAGAACTGTTCAGATAACTCTTGACTTTTAACATTACAGAATTCGCTAAAACAGAAGTATGGCCTTGAATTCAAAGGGTTTTTCTCCTAAGTGAAAACGTCATTTGTGTACAAAGTATTGAAGACTAAGAAAAAAAAAAGAATGATATAATAAAATTAAGTTCAATACATTTACCTCTGGTGTGCTTGCCTCAAGTTTTTGATCCACATGTATCTGCCTGGGATTTGAATCTGTAAACCAAAAGAAAAACTTTTGAATGGCCTACAAGTAAAATCTGTAAGCTCAATGACAAGAATGATAACTGACTAAGACACAGAACTAAAGGGAAAGAAATAATTCAATCTGATTTTGGTTTTGAAAAATTACTAGCTTAAGAGATTTAAAGCATAAATTACTTTGGTTCTTTTCATCCAAGGATTTTCTAGAAACAAGTTCTCTCTTTTGGATTATTCATTTATGTAACAAATCCTGCACTTAAGTGTCTATCCAAGGAACCAAGTAAAGTGATGTGAGGGATACAAAGATAAGACAGCTCCTGCCCCCCATAGAATATAGTCTACCAGAAGATAAGATGTACAGGAAAAATGAGACACATAAAGTGCTAAAGGATTTCACAACAAAGATTACTTATACTATGGGGAAATCAGGGAACACATCCTTAGGAAGTGGCCGTGCAGAGGCTATATTAGGTAAAAGGAATAATATAAGAAAAAGGTAAGAAAGTTCAAAGTGTATTTGAAAAATAGCAGCCTATTAAAATCTCTACTACATATTAAAGGAAGTAATGTAAAATAAGGCAGAAAAGTTAAAATGGGGTAATAATAGCACCTAATTTCCAGAGTTGTTGTGAGGATCAAATGAGACAATAAAAGCAAAAAGTGCTTAGGGCATAGAAGAGGCTCCCCTCCCAGTACCAAGGTAAAGAAATTAGGTATTTGGTGGTAAATGGACCAGTCAACAAGTATTTATTAAGTACGTACTATACAACAGTTATCAAGTAAGGCAGTGGGAATACAAAGATAAAAATGAAAGTCTGTAAATAGATATATATACAAAATAAACAACAAGAGCACCAAAGAATTTTCATTTTAAAATACAATAAAACTTTTTTTTAAAATGTAAAAACCATCCTTAACTCCCACCTTAGAGACCCCTGACTTAAAGAATGCCCTCAGGTAGACAGATCAGTAAAGGCTTCAAGCAGAAGGTGGCACAAAAGCTGATCTTTGAGTAAAGGACAGACAGAGATGAAGGAAGGTAGGCCAATGCCAAAGCACAGACAAAGAAAACTGAGTAGCACCCAGGTGAGCAACAGTGAGGCCGGGGAGACAGGACAGAGCTGTGCAGAGAGTGCTGTGCTCTGTGACGCTACAAAGGGCTTTAACTGCACCCCAGGGAAGCTTCTATCTGCTCAAAGGCCCACGAAAACCTCCATGACAGAGGGGATGACAACCAATGATGCTATGAATGTTTTAGGAAATCAGAAGAGAAAACAGGCGGGAGTCAGGATATAGTAACTTTGGTGCGGAACATGCTGACCTCAGGTAATGTTGGTCAGCAGACAATGACTATGGGTCTGAAGCTTGGGAGAAAAGAAGAGGCTGCATTTACCGCTATGGAAGTCATTTAACATTAAAACCATAGTTGAAAGTACTAGAAAGGATAAGATCATGGAGAAAGAAGGTATTAAGAGAAGAGAAAGGGGTTAAGAACAAAACCCTGAGGAATATATGCATTAAAAAGATGAACAGTAATGTGATGATGTGAGTCTATGCATGTGTGTACATTTGCTTAATAAAAAAGAACTGTTGCCTAACTTGTGAATTTAAACCAGGCAATCACACAATCATCTGTATTTGGTAGAGTGCTGGACCTGGAGCCAGGAAGACCCGAAATCAAATTTTCCTCAGACGCTTACGTGCTATATGACCCTGGGTAAATCATTTAACCTCTGTTTGCCTCAGTTTCCTCAACTGTAAAATGGTGATAATAAAAGCACACATTCCCCAGGGTGATTGTGAGAATCAAATGAGATGACAGCTGTAAAGCACTCAGCCCAGTGTCTGACACATACCAGACATTTTATAAACGTCAGCTATTGTTGGTGCTGCTGCTGTCAGTCACTGCCATGACCACGAGTACAACATACCTTTATCTCTTCGTTCTTCGGCATCGATTCTTCGCCTTCCTTTTCTCTCACTCCCATGTGGTTTTCTCTGCACACAGGTATTACTAGTCTGAACAGCTGCCTGCCCAACTGATGAGCTCTTAAGGATGGATACAAACAAAACTCGAGATGTTGTGTTAAAATTTAACTAAAAACCCACGTTAAGTTTTTGCTTCTAACTTTTCATTCTAGCAATTTACACTGACATCACGTGAGTCTGTTGTGAGCCCACACGAGGCCCTGATTTGTACCACCTACCCCAGAGACAAAATATTACACACATATAAGAAATAATAAATAAAGCACATCAAGATGTCTAAGCCTGTGAGAAAATGAAAGCTACAGCATTAAAGTAAATAGAAAAGTTTCAAAAATGCTTACCAGTTTATTAACAGAAAAAGAACCCTTTCTATCTAGTAAGGGAACTCTTAACCCACGGTTATTTCTACACATTGCTCCCAAAAGGCATTCACAAGCTTTCTGAGAGTCACTATTCCAGATAATAATCGTTCTATGTTCTATCTAGATGGTACACACCATATTCAAGACAACTTTTTCACTTGATCCCTAAAGTGGGTGGGTGGGTGGGGGGGTTAGGGGAGAGTATTGAATATTGATGATCAGCTACAACTACAGATCATATTTCATTCAGCAGAAATATACCTGAATAAACAAACCTCAAATAAACTTCAAAGATAAGCCAAACAAACAATTTAATTATGACTATAACAAACATGCATGTAAATGCCCAAATACCAGTTGTACTCTTCAAAATTGGCCACATGTATTTATTCCAAAAGTGCTACATTCCTGTAACAGGTATTCCAAACTAATTTTGTAAACCCCTGAAAATTCTTTCAACACAAGTTGAAACAATTTCAAATGAGATTAAGTTTTGTCCTTTGAGGTTGAATTTTTATCTTCAGAAAGAGATAAAAGTAATTTGGAGATAAGTTTGTGAATAAAGTGATCAAGCTGGAATACTAATGAGGCATGAACTGATACAAGTGATCATCTTATGTGGCTAATGGCTTGAAACACCAAAATGTGTGGTGGTTATTCATAGAGTACACCCATAACCTCTCTTGGTTACAACTCTGAAGGATGGCACTCAAGGGGATATGTAAACTGGCTCATTTTTTAACAACTCAGTCTTACACTTCAGGCATGTCTGAATGAATGCCAAGTCTTCTACTTCATAATAAGGTTAGAAAGGCACAGTGAGGAAAGAGCTTTGGACTAGGATTCAGGGTGCTTGGGTTCTAGTCCAGACCTTGTCATAAACTAATTCTGAAATGCTAGAGGAAAGTGCAAAACTGAGCTTCAACCCCTCATTTTACAAGTGAAGGTGTTGGATGGGAGCATGGTCAAGATCCCTGCTACGTCTAGAATTCCATGGTCCTATTTATACAAGAGGAGGAAAAAATAAGAAACAACTCTTTTCATAATTTTTATACGTACAGAGAGGGCTGGAAAAGCCTGTTCATCTCTGTGCTGAATTTCATACAATAAACGTGATTCCTCAAACGCTTCTCTCTCTCTTCGCTCCTCAGGAGAAAGGCCAAAATGACTTCCATCTCTGCCAACGTGATCTGAATCTTCCATTCTCTCACGTTCTACTTTTCTGTAAGGACAATTTTTGTTATTCAAAAACACTGGTAAAACAGACTGAGCTCCAAAAATTACACTGATTGTTATCCACAGCAAATGTTTAATCCCAACTTTGTTTCTCTCTAATGTTCGAAATGCATCTGGCTGCCCTGTGTGTTCTTTAAAAAAAAAATGCGAAATTGCTTAACAGAAACCTAAATTCACTGCAAATTCATGACTCAAAAAATTTTGTTATGCATTCTCCAGTGCAAAAAAAGTTGTTTTTTTTTTTTTAATTTCTGCAGTATTAATTCCTTTTTGTGAAGATAATGGAGTGGGGGCAGCTAGGTGGCACAGCTGATAAGAGCACCGGCCCTGGATTCAAGAGGACCTGAGTTCAAATTCGGCCTCAGACATGTAACACTTACTTACTAGCTGTGTGACCCTGGGCAGGTCACTTAACCCCATTACCTAGCCCCCCCAAAAAATAAATAAAAGATAACGGAGTATTAAATACTATCTACTCATATTAACTTTTAGGAGGGACAAGTTCAAATCTCGCTAACTCAAATGTGATACTTCCACTAAGAAATGGTCTGTAAATGTACGTTGGAATGGCATGAAAGAACATTTGAAAGAAAGGCAGTATGTTTTTGCTTATCATCAAAACACTAAGGAAGAGAGTATATATTTATAAATGAAAATACAAAAATAAACTTTTAAATCCCTAAAGAAAAAAAAGAAACCTGTATGCTACTAAATATATAAAACTATAATTTTTTTTGGTTCAGACCCGTGATTTATCGTGTTAGGACATTTGCTAGGTGAAAACTATTTATACCACTGTGAATAAACACTACATCAATAATTTATGGTCATAAAGAGTTCCCTGATTAAGAGAATTAACCAGTTCTTCTTCCTGACTCTAAATTCTGCCCTGTGAACACAATATGTAATGTAAAATTCGTTTACTATAATTAGCAAACCAAATTTATTTAAAATTCCAAATAGTTAAGGTTCCACAACTTAAAACTAAATAAAAATTTTTTTTAGACTTTTGCTTCTGAAATAAAGAGCCACAAGACACATAAAATATATCAGGTCCTTTACAATATAACCCAGTTCACATAATGAAAAGTGAAAGAATAAACAGTAAAAACAATTAACTACAAAACCTTAAATGGTGATAGCATCTAACAGCAACACAGCGTAAGTGGGTTTATAAAAGATAATGATCAGTGCCTCTCAAACTGGTCAAATGGTCATTCTAAGAAGGTTTCTGAGACGGGAATTAGAAAGGACACCCCCAATCACAGTGAAGAATTTGACATCATTAAGAATTACTAAAGAACTGTAGTTGTTTAGCTAGAAAAAGGGAAATATGAATGTTATTTTCAAATATCTAAAGAGATATTAAATCAAAGAGAAATCAGTCTTATTGTACCAGTCCAAAGAGAAGAATTAAGAACAATAGAAAGGACTATCCCAAGACAGATTTCAGCTCAACAAAGAAATTTCTAACAATCAGACTTGTTCAAGTTTGAAGTGGGATGCTTTGTGAGATAGTCATATCCTCTGAATTAAAACAGCTGAGATCAGATTGATTGGTATACCAAAGATGCTACAGAGAGGATTCCTATACATGAAGATCACCTAATGGAACTTTGCAAGGCTCCTTCTAACATAAAGATATTAAAACAAAGTTCCCAGTAACTGTAACTGTTTCAGATGCTTTTAACAACCACTGTTCCAAGTTGTTGTTGCTGTTTTTTTAATTCAATTTTATTTTCAGTTTCAAATCCCTTCTGGCTACTACTCATTGAGAAGGCAAGAAAAATAAAACCCACTACAAATTAGCAAAGATATGCCAAACAAATATCTCTATTAGCCATGTTCCAAGGGGAAAAAAAGAAAAGGAAAATACTGTTCAATCTACTAAGTATATTAGAAAATATTGTTCAATCTGGGTATATTAGTTCTTTCTGGAGGTAGAAAGTATATTTCATCATTAGTCCTCTGGAATTGTGGTTAGTCATTGTGTTGATCAAAATTACTGAGTTGATTATCTTTACAATATTGCTGTTATTGCAGCCAACTGTTCTCCTGGTTCCACTCAAAGACATGTCTCTTGATGTCTTCGAGGTATAAACATAGTAGCAGCATCAGTGATTTAAGGATATATATATCTTAACATATTTTGGGGCGCAGTACCAAATTACTTTCTAGAATGGTTGGATTGGTTCACAGCTACATATATTAAGTGTAGCTATTTTACCACATCCTCTCCAGCATTTGTCTTTTTCACCAATCTGATGGGTATGAGATAGTACCTCAGAGCTATTTTAATTTGAATTTCTTTCAGTAGTGATTTAGAGTATATTTCTTATACCTATTGATAGCTTTGATACCTTCCTCTGAAAACTATAGCTATATCCTTTGACCATTTGCCAACTGGGAAATGGTACTTATTCTTGTAAATTTGACTTGTTTCCTAAGTATTTTAGAAATGAGATCTCAATCAGAAAAATTTGCTGTAAAAATTTCCCCCAGTTTCCTGATTTGCTTCTAATTTTAGCTGTATTGGTTTTGTATGAAACTTTTAAATTTTATAGAAGCAGAATTATCCATTTTCCTTCATATGAACCTATTTCTTATTTGCTCATGAATTCTTCCCCAATCCACAAATCTAACAAGTCATTTCTTCAAGGTTCCACTAATTTATGGTATCACCCTTTGGCAAACTCATGTACCCATTTTGAGCATATCTTAATATAGAGTGAGAATGTTGGTCTATCTCTAGTTTCTGTCAGACTATTTTCCAGTTTTCCCAACAGCTTTTGTCAAATAGTAAGTTTTAGCCCCAGGGACAGCTAGGTGCTACAGTGGATAGATTACTGGCCATTAATTAGGACTCATCTTCCTGAGTTCAAATGTGGCCTCAGACACTTGCCAACTGTGTAACCCTGGGCAAGTCACTTAGCCCCTTTTGTCCCAGTTTCTTCATCTGTAAAATGAGCAAGAGAAGGAAATGGCAAACCATTCAAGTGACTTTGCTAAGAAAACCTCAAATCAAGTCAGAGTCAGACGCAAATGAGTTCTTGCCCCAACAATTAGGTTGAGTTTATCAAACACAAAGTTACTATGTTCATTTTCTTTTGTACATGGTACACCTAATCTTTTCCACTCATCAGCCTATTTCTTATCCAGTACCAGATTGTTTTGATGATTACCACTCTGTTGTATAGTTTGCAATCTGGTACTGAAAGTCCACCTTTCTTAACTTTTTTTTTTCATTGAATCCCTTGATAATCTTGATCTCTTATTCTTCCACAATAATTTTGATTTTTTTCTAGCTCCATAAAGTCATTCTTTGATAGTGTGATTGCTATGGCACTGAAAAAGTACATTAATTTAGGCAGAATTGTCATTTTTGTTACATTAGATCAGACTACTCATGAGAAATTAACATTTCTCCAATAATATAAATCTTTGTGTGAAGATGTTTTAAATGGATTCTTATACTTCCTCTGTGTCCCAAATATTTTACTCTGTCTACCATTATTTTATATGGAATTCCTCTTCCTACTGGGTATTGTTGGTTAATATGAAGAAATGATGATTTGTGTGGTTTTATATGCCATAATCTTATTGAAGTTAATTGTTTAGATTAATTTTTTAGTTGATTCTAGGGGTCTCTAAATAAGGCATCTTATCATCTGCAAAGAATTCAGTTCAGTGTCCTCACTACCTATACCTATCACTTCAATTTTTTTTTTGGCCTTATTATTATAAATACCATTTCTAATACAATGCTGAATAGTAATGGTGATAATGAACATCGCTGATTCACCCTGATCATATTGGAAAGGCTTCTAGTTTAAACCCATTACAGAAGTTTGCTCTTATTTTAGATATGACTTATTTTAAGGAAAGCTCCCTTTATTCCTGTGCTTGCTAGTGGTTTGCTTTTTTTTTTGGGCCAGGCAATGGGGTTAAGTGACTTGCCCATGGTCACACACCTAGTAAGTGTGATGTGTCTGTGGCCGTATTTGAACTCAGATCCTCCTGAATCCAGGGCCACTGCTCTATCCACTGCGCCACCTAGCTGCCCCCTTACTAGTGTTTTTAATGGGCATTTTATTTTGTACAAAGCCTTTTCTGCATCTACTTAACTAATCATGATTTTTATTTGTTAATATGGTGAATTATGGGTTTTCCTAATATTGAATCAGTCCTGCATTTCTGATATAAACCCAGTTTGATCAAAGCATATGATCTTTGTAATATTGCTGTAATGTCCTTGCTAGTATTTTATTTAAAAGTTTTGTGTTAATATTCACAAGGGAAATTGGCATACAATCCCTCCCCTCCACTGTTTTGACTCTCCCTAGTTTAGTTATCCAGATCACCTTTGCATCATAAAAGGAATTTGGTAGGATCACTTCTTTACTTATTTCTTCAAACACCTTATACAGTACTGGAACTAATTGTTCACTGAATGTTTGGTAGAAGTCGTTTATAAATTCACCAGTCCTGGCAGTTTTTTTTTTTTTCTTATGGAGTCCATTTTTGGCTTATTCACTTAGTTTTTCTAAGGTAAGATTATTTAAATATCCTATTTCCTGTTCTGTCAATCTTAGCATGATTTATTTTTTTGTAAATGTTTGTTCATTTCATTTAGATTTTCAGTTTTAGTGGCATCCAGCTGGGCAAAATACATCCTAGAAAATAATGTTATTTCATCTTCATTAGCCATGAATTCAACTTTTTCATTTTTTATATTGATAATTTGGTTTTCTTCTTTTCAAAAGATCAAATTAGCCAATCTCCCCCACCCCCCCCAAAAAAACCAGAACTCCTAGTTTTGCTTATTAGTTCAATTTTTAAAAAAACTTTGTTTTGTTAATCTCTCCTCTGATTTTTAGGATTTTTATTTTGGTCTTTAGGGCTTTGTAAATTGTTGATTTTCTGTTTTTTGTTTTTTTTTTTTTAGTTCAATGTCCAATTTGTTGATCTGCTCTCTTATTGATGTGA